AATTACCTGTAACAGTAATGTGATCTACTCTCAAATGTACATAAAAATGCAGCATAAAATAAAATTGTTCCAGTGTATACCTCCTCATCATTCTGCATGAATTCTAGGCTAGCCAATTCCACAGAGATACAATGACAGATAATGAATGAAAGATGAGAAGATAAAAGATTAATGGGTTCATGGCCTTCCAGAAATAAAAGAAATTCACTGGCTTAAAAAAAAATATTCATTTGAAAGATAGTGTTTTTCGATATTATTCAGTAAACCAATTTTAGTATATGAGGTGAAAAAGAATGAAGAATGAAATGATTTTTTTTCCAAATGCAACAGTACTTTGCCGGTATATTTTAAAACTTAGAAAAGGGAAATAAAGTGTGCTCATCTTTGCTCTCATCAAATAACCATTAATCTTGGACAAAAAGAAGGGATTTTAAAAAAGACAACAGTAACTCTTTTGTGAAAATGTTCTGTTCTCTTGAGCCCACCGTTGGGTTAATCCTGCTTTAAATGTCATGCCCTGGGTGAAATATACCTTCTCTTTGAAGTTGCCTGGCTTCAAAATGCTCTGTGACATTCAGGGCCAGGTTGCCTCAGCTCCAGAGCCTTCAGATGACAAAGAGTAATGCTGTCAGTACCAGTGCATTATAACAGATCACGTATATAACGCTACCTTCCCTTGGATCACGTTTTCATTTGCTCTGTTCTGTTTGGCTTGAATTCTGAACCAAAACAAGTTTGGGGCAGGCTCACTGAAAGTGAAAAGTTTATGTATATTCTAACGTGCTGTAACGTTTTTCTCCTTTTCTTGCTGTTAGAAATTGATTTTATATATCAGATGACCAGGACCTGACAAATATGTCAAAGAAATAAGTGACATATTCATCAAGCATACCAAAAGCTTCTTCTTCAACCTACTTGCCAATGAGCTGTCCCTCACCTGTTGAATTTATCTTTAGGATGCAACCAACTTGTGCAGGAATAAGAGACGGCAGATCTCTCCCTACTTGTGGCAGATCATTTCTGCAAGGCAGCAGGCAGAGTGATAAAGACCAGTGATTTTCAACAAAACTTCTTCATCTCAACATCTAATATTGTTCAAAGGTTGCTGGGAACATATGCGAAAATGTCTGTGTTATCAACAAGAGTACATAAAGATAACATAAACAACTTAAAACATATATACATAGTCATCTTAGGACTCAAGAAAAAGGTTCGCTTTCTCTGTCTAAATGTGCACAAAGATACAGGTAGGCAGAAATGTACAAGGTCTCACACACTTTGCACACAGGTATAACTCAGTTTGTTAGACACTGTAATTTACATTTGAGAATTACTTAACCCTAAACATAAAAATGTGTCCCTTGGTTTATAATTGTACCCTAAGCACTTGTCTAAGTAACTAGAGCAACAGTGTCAGAAGCATTGTTAACACAAATTTGGTATAACTATAGAATCAAGAAATACGAAGAAGTTACCACAGGATGTGGGACCACTTTTCTCCTACACTGTGCACATGCTCCTACAGAATTGAATTCCTTGACTGGGACGTATTATAAACTGATTGATTTGTTCTATCCTGCAAACCATGTGATTTGTAATCCAAACCTCTTCTTAACGATTAGTTGCCAATCTTAGTTAACTCTAGAATTCATGGTTACTTGTTTATGTGATGGAATGCCTTTACACCTCTGGCTGGACATTTACGTATATCAGAAGCAAAGCCTTAATTTCAATGATTTACAACCCCCCCGAAATTGGCATCATTAAAAATAATCACCAAGTTAATGAAAAACTGTTCAATGGTTCAGTTCAGCAGCTCTCTCTAATATCAAGAATACCTGACACAGTCTCAAGGAGCTGGCATCTGTTATTTTGAGCAGTTAGCATACAACAGAGAGAAAAGTTTTTTGATTTGAACATTTGTCCCTGATCAAGAGCCTAAAGTGACTGTGAAGTAATGTTTCTTACTGCAAAGCCCTGGATGGGACTTCAGAAGGACCAAGAACTCTCTAAAACTTAAGGCAAAATCCACGTGAATATGCATATATTCATTAGGGTCCCATAGCCACCACACTGTATGTTCCTATGTTTCATTCTATCCAGAAATGGCAAACAAATAATGTTAAAGGAAAAGGGCAGTGAAGAACACAGGCTTATTATGAGCAAATTCTGAACATCTCAAAAAACGTCTTTTGGATAGAGACAAGCTTGACCACCCAGGAGACCAAAGCCTTTGCTCGCAGCAGGGATGTCGCAGCTGTTTGCCATTAAAACCATCAAATAAGTTAGTACAATTCGCAAAAGGCATAAAATGATCAGCATCATCCATCCTCACCCTGTTAAGAAAAGTGCATACAGGCTAACCACATGCAAAAGCAGGTACTAGGTCATTACCTGCCCCCTTCCATCCACGGGTGTGGTGCAACACCCAGGAGGAGCTGTTACTTTGTGGCAAAGTTTTTACGAGAGAAACTCAAGCAAAATGAAATCTGTGTTTCAAGTGACCCAAACAGTTATTATGGACTGCTTTCCATTAAAAACAACCATGGATAAAAATCTTTGCCGGTAAAAAAAAAAATCCATGTTTCCTCTGGGGTAAACAAAATCAGCAACCATAAAAGTTATTTAAGTGATCTACAACTTAAGCTATTATCTGCTTGAACTGACATTGTGAACTGGTCATTCAAAACAGTGCATGATAAACATTACCCTCTGTTCAATAATGAAACTGGAATTAGTTAGCAATTAATTTAGCAGTGCTAATTAGGCGTTAAAAATCTTACCTAGTAAAGTCTGTCTTTGTCTTTCTGTGCCTCCTTAGGAGAGGCTAACTATTATAACGTATCTGCTGTTCCCAAACTTGGCCATGATGACAGAGCTCTTCTGCAGACGCTAACGGTGATATACGATTGTTTTCCTTAAAAACAAGCTGCAACAATCATTTGTAACTACTGGCATTTTAACTAACGATCTCCTGAGAAGCAGAACTTTATGTCAGTATTAAACATAAATCACATTACCTTCACTCAATTTCGATTTTTTTTTTCTGAGTAGGCACAATCGTCACAGGGAGGAAGACAGATACACAGACAGGAAGAGTTTGCAAGTAGTATGTGTTTGTCTCTGGAAAGAATCTTTCTATTTAAAGGACTTGTGTTTGGCAACCACCTTTCCTGTCCCTTCTTCTAGCAACGTTGACAGCTCCCTCTGGTCCACAGATCAGCTGCCGCCACCCTCCACCCCTATGAAATTATTGCAAGATTTGCCTGGTCCTGCCGTTTGCTGACTGGGACCTCCACCCACTCACCCTGGACCTAATCGCTGCTCTCAGCATCCTCTCTCGCTCCTCCAGCGCTCGCTCTCAGCGCCCCCTTCCGGGGATCCCCGGGACGCCACAGGCGCAGGAAAGTTAAATCCCAACTCGGAGCAGCCGCATCCAGGTACAAAGCATGGAAAGGGCAAGGAGGTGAACGCGCTTCCCGCCAAAGCCCGGGGAATCGGGATCTGACTCTGTTAGGACCCGCAAGCGGCGCCGAGGGAAACGATACCACGAATATCACTCCTCTGCGGTGTTTTCCCCGGACATCTTGGGAGGACCAGTTCCCTCCAGCGCCCACATCAGACTCCGTCCCCGAAACCCTGAGGCAGAGGATGCAAAATCCGCGGAGGGCGCAAAGATGCCCGCAGAAAGGGACTCGCCCGCCTGCAGACCACCGGGCAGGCGGGTCCCCGGGCCTCTGCATCCTGGCAGCGGCATTCTGAGTGGTCCCCGGCCTCAATCTTCCCGGTTAACCAAAGGGCTTGGCGGAGTTGAGCCAAGTCCCACTTCCTCCCAGTTTCTCACACGCGCCGCAAAACCGCTGTAACTGGAACAGGAAAAAAAGCTGACCCAGCCGGGCTGCTCGGCAAGGCTATGGGACCACAAATAGCCGGACATCGGGACCCCTGCCCTTCGCTCCTGTCGATGCATGCCTGGGCGCGCGCGGGACACAGGCACAGACCTCCACTGTGAACCTTCCCGGGGTGTTGGGTGGGGGTCCCATCTGGCCCCCCGAGTGGTCGCCCATGGGGTCGCTTCTGCTTCTTACCTCTGCACCCTCGAGCCTCAGCAAAGACAGGGACACAAACTTCCAGCTGGTGCACTAGCTCAACAGTGAGAACCTCCCCACTAAGGGTAGTCCTCCTAATCCTATACGCCCCACCACCCGCGGCTCCCCACTCAAGCCTGATGATAGACCTTGCCCAACATCCACATGACCCACCCTCCGATCACTGCCGCCCCCGGGTCCCGGCCAGCAGTGCGGTACAGCGGGGGTTGCGGCCACCGCCACGCAGGGATACGGGGGTGTCGCTCACCAGGTGCGATGCGCGCTCCTCGTACCAGTCACCGAGCGCCTGGAACCCCGGAGAGATCTGAGCGTCCTCTTCAGTGACCGGCGAGGGAAGTCGAGGCAGCAGCCACCACCGCCCCCGCCACTTTCCTAGAGCAGCACCCGACTTGCTACACTCCGGGCTGGGGGCGCCACTTAAGCGGCAGGTTCACCGTTCCCTAGTGCGCAGCTGGCCTGGGGGTGAAGCAGGTTCTTTCACAGTGGGGGCGACAGGCAACGAGGCAAAGTTGGGTGCCCGAACGAGTTCCGCAGGGAAGCCCCCAGGATGGGCCACAAGGACCGGGATGTCCCCGCAGAGGGGAGGTGAAGTCTGGGGGCCGCCGCCCGGCAGGGGCCGCGGCCGGTCGGGGGTCGCGGAGCCCACCCGCTGCGGGAGGGCAGCACAAGGGAGAGGGCGCAGCTACAGCAGCCGCCGCCGGCGCCGCCTTCCCAGCGAGTAGAGCTGCGCTGGATGCAAGCAAGAAGCGCGGGGCTGGCTCGCCCCGCCCCTGCCCCGCCCCCACCCCGCCCGAGCTGCCGCGCCTCCTCCTCCCCCTCCCAGCTAGAGTGAAACCCGAGCGCTCCACCCCGCGCCTGACCTCCCTGGCCCCACCCCCTACACCGCCCCTTCCCCAGGCTGGACCCCTCTGAGCTTAGGGCACCTCTGCACCCCAAAAACCCCACTACTGCCTCCCCGGTGGGAGTGCGCCAGAGCCTGGACTTTCGGGGGCTCCCTCCCCGTGGCCACTCGCGCGGACCTTCAGTGGCTCCTCGCCCAAGTCCCGCCGCTCGGACGTGGCTACATTGAGGGGGAGGGGGGTGGCGAGCGCGGTATAAAGGGCCGGAGGCGGTGCGCGCGGAGATCTAGACGTGGCGCGTCCGCTCTGCCGGCCTCTGCTCCAGGTATGTGCGTGTCCCCCGGAGAATTGCGGCCGCGTGGTGGGGGTGGGCAGAGATGGCCGGGTCCTCTCGGACTCCTGAGTTTGTGACTTTTTCATTTTTGTAAGACATGCTCTTGCGGGGGCTGAGCTGGAAACTCCTTAGAGTCTCTGCGGGTTCTTGGAGGAGCGATTTGGGGGTGAGCCTCCAGCCTAGTTCGGGTCGATTTCTACGAAGTTCAGAGACAAGAGCAAATCAGACGAACCGGGGAGGCAGGTCAGGGGGTTCACAAGTACTACGCTGAGCGTTAAAAGAGGAGCTTCTAGGTGGACAAGGTCAGCTAGTCTAATTCTGGGGCTAAATCTTACTTGTTGCACTTTTGCAGAATCTCGGTTATGTCAAACAAGTGCTCAGGTGAAAAGTTTCATAACTGGAAATTGAAGTACTTTTCAAGACTCCTAGAATTTGATATTTTGTTGCAAAGCCTCTGCTTGGAACTCCAAAGAGCGGCACGTGACCCTTTCCCTCTGCCTAGGGGTGGGAACAGTATCTCTGGGCCCTTTTTTCTCCGTCTGGACTTCAGAGGGTGGCTTTGAAGTTCCCCTTGCAAAAGGAAACGCAAGAAAGCCCCACTGCTTTCCTCTCTCAGCTAGTGACATAGTGTGTCCCTATGGCACACGTTTACATATAGCTCGAGGCAGGACAGGTTGTTGAGATACCGCATACTGGGAATGGGCCAGTGTCCCATAACTGCCGTTGAGCTCATCTGTGCAAGGAACCACTAGCTGGAAGGTGTCCCAGCCAATCACATGCAAGAGAAGAGCTATAGAAATACAAATTGACATTGACTTGTGTTTCCTTTGGAGAAATGCTTTTTTAATAAAAAAAAAAAAGCGATTTTGAAGGAAGCCCAGCCCAAACTCTTGAAGTCTCTTTCACACCAGTGATGAGTAGCCTGGGAACTCCAGGCCTCACTCGGATTTCCTTTAAGACCTCCGGAGGAAACGTCAGTAGCTGGGCTCCTCTTTAAGAAACATTCTAACCTGGGTTGTGGAGGGGGCCTGGGGCTGGTGCCGGACAGCTGCCTGGCTCCTGGGATCTTACAGAACAGCTTAACAGTTCTGTGCTTGGCATGAAGGGCACTAGCTCCATTCCTGGCATTCCAGCTCTCTTGCCTACGTGGCACCCAGGCCTAGGAATGCCCTGGGAGGAGGAGGTGGCCAAGGTCTGGCCTGGCCGCTCTGCCCTTGGGGGGTGGAGGACTTTACCTTACTCTTGACCTTGCAGCCCTTGGGTGGGTGGGTACCTTTGGAGTCTCTAGTGACCAAGGCAAAGGGAGACAAATTAGGATAAAAATGTGGAGTTAATCCTGTCTTTGCCTTGAACATTACAGTTAAGGGCATGTACACTTGAAAAAAAAATCTTGGCATATGTACAGAGAGCTACGCAGTGAAAAGAACTTAGTTTTCTACACTATAACCCAGGAGGGCTGATAAGATAACATTTAACTCAATAAATTGTGTAACTTTATGTGTATGTGGGGGAGGGAGGTCAATTTCCCAGGCAGTTTACAGGCTACACCGAAGCATTGTTAAAAAATGTACGTTTAGTGATAATGAATGACAAACAAATTAATAATGAGAACGGAGGAGAAACCTCCGTTCAAATAATAATTTAGAGTGCATCGTTAAAGTGAAATGGCCCTAAACTGAGGTTGTGATTTCACCTTGTGACCTAGGGAGAAGTTCCTGAACTTTACTGAGCTAGCTTAAATGAACCAGCTGGCAGGCGTGTCCTTAGTAAGCACTGAGACAGAGAGGAAGTAATGCAAGTACGGGAAATACCCAGGGCCCAGTATAGAAGTCTGTACAATAAAAATGTTTTAAAGAATCCACAAGCGTTCCCTTGTTCCAAATGAAAATTTCTGGGTTTGTTGGGATTTTTTTTTTTTAAGTTTTACTCACTGAAGAACTTCCTACATTAAGCTTTTACATTGTAGAACTAGAGGTGATCATTTTAAAATGAAGCTGTTTAGTTCTCTTATACAAATAAAAATATAGCTTTCCCTAAACTGTTTCATGTCAGCCATGCACACGATGTAAAAGAATGAGCAAACCACTCAAGCACTCGGTGAAAATGATGAATTTTGGGGCGCTGATTCATGTGACCTGAAAAACGCCATCCATTTCCTGATTCACCTCAAGTTCTGCAGTGATATGAGGGATGTCTTATGTCTCTGAAATAACTAACGGGTTTTATCTTGATTTCTCTCCCTTGTGCTTGAATTTCAGCTACATTGATAAACCGCCATCTTAGAGGGGAGCAGCAGGGAGGGGGCTGATGAGAAGGTCGCCTGGTGGAGATACAGACGCTGCTGTGATCAGGAGTGACCTCCAAGGGGCACCTCCGTCTGTGACCTTGACAAGGCATGTGATTGTATTAGTATCACGAGAAACCTCAGTCCAGAAGTCGTGGCCTATGGACACTTACATGGTAACTAGATGTTCCTGCAGATGAGCCAAGAGGCACATGACACTCGTCATCCACAGGTGTTCCCATCTTACTCCTGTTTTCCTTCTTCTACATCCCTGGCATTTTAGAGTTGAAAAAACTGCGAGATCCTCTGATCAGCTCCATTAGTTTTTTTTTTCTTGAAATGGCCAAACATTGATAAAAACAACATGCAGTTTTATGCCTCACTAAGATTGCCTAGTGCTAGTGTTTGTTCATACACCATTTTAAGTACTTCAAAGACCCATGATGTGGCTACAGATAAGGCTGTGATGCTCCCCAGAGACTTGACAGCAGAACCACCAGGTGGGGAGAACTCAGGGAGCCCATACTCGAGGCCCTTGAGCTTCACCAGGGTAAAAATTCTTTTACCCCTAGAAATGCTCACCCACCGTTTAGTGGAGCAGCCTTCTCCCATGGCAGAGGTAAGCAGGCCAGTTTTACTCAAAAACACCAGCCAGAAACTAAAACAGAATAGAAAGAAAATCGTGGCACACCTGAGAGTGAGCATAAATGGGCATGGAGCGAAGTGGGGCCCTGGCCCTTAAACTGAGGGACCAGGGCCACCACGAAGGCACCTGCACGTCAGCCCTCTGCCAGGCTGCTCACTGGCCCCTGCACCACTCTCCCTCCTCTGAAGCTGAGGGCCACCCACACCCACCCGGGGCCTGCTTCCAGCTTCCCCGGCCTGTCAGGAGCCTGTTTGTCCCTGCTGGGTGTTCCATGGAGGCTGACACACAGCAACTTGGCCTCACCCAACCCAGGTGAGCTTCCTACCTTTGAGCTTACCAGAACTCACCCCCCAGCTGAAAACCACCTCTAGAAGTATTTTGCCTTGTCTTTATGGTTAAATTTCTAGATATATTTTCCTAGCAACCCAATTTCCTTAAAATAAAATTGTGCTCAAACCACCTCAAGTTGTGTTTTTATGAGTATGGTATGGGGAGAAGAACAATGCTGGGTTTAAAGGATTTTTGGAACACCTGGGGGAAATGCAGACGCTTTGTGGCACAGAGAGAAAGCATCCATATGGCTTCCTGAGTGTTATGTTCTGACATGGAGCTTTGTATATATTTTTAGTGTCCATAAGCAAAAAGTGTACTTTTAAAATAGATATGCTTGACACTCATTAACCAATGTCCCCTATAATCCTCTGTCTTTGAAAATAGAGATCTGGGGAAAATAAGTGTGTTTGGAAATAAATTTTCAAAAATAAGCTCCATCCTACATAGGTTTAGAAATACAGATTACTCTGCCTCAGATTATTCCATCATTTAGCAGGGAGATGAACTCATGACGACCTTGAGGAAAATGAAAAGAATATCTACTAAGTGAAATTGACCAGTGGACCAAGTGTCTGCTGAAGCAAATAAGTGGGAAGATGAGTTGTCAAGAATCTTGTCACCCTTCTGTCACCTTGCTTCAGACCCTGCCTTCCATTCCCATCACTGTCACCTTCATTCAGAATATGAACTTCGCTCACCCAGAACACCAGCACCTCCCCTGATGGCCCCGGTCTCCCTGCGCTTCCTGTCTACAGCTCTACGCCACCGCGCTCACGCCCAAACACCACCACCCAACTCGTTCTCAATAACACAACTGATTTTGAATTGCAATCTGCCTGGCTTGTAAAAAAGAAAAAGGAAAAGCAACTTCCATGGCACTTAGTTGTGACCAACAAGATGTAAGGCAGTGGGATCCCAAGAAAGGCTTCAAGTAAGGGGGCAACAGCTAACTGGGTGTGAACTTTCCTGCCCTTACCTCCTGAAACCAAGGGTCCTCATGGCTTTCATTAAATTTAGTCTTAAATCCCAGCTATAGAAATCAGATCTCTGTCTACCTATGTGCCCCCCAGAGACCCAGCCTTTCCCCCCAGATCATCAGCAACCCCGGAGGCAGTAGAAGACCAAGGCCTGGACCTAATGGACATGCGGTCCAGACCTCTGGCAGGCTAAAGATAGCTAGCACCTTGACCTAAGTTATGGTTCAGTTCCTGAGCCTAAAGGTGAAATGACCCTTGGACAGAGGAACTTCAGAAAAGACCTCAAAGCTGCCCTCCAGACCTAAAGAAATGATTTACTACCCTCACTCACCTCTGGTCAGTCTGCCCCCAGCATGACCCCAGGCCCTTAACCCACAGTGTCCTGTGACTTTGCCCTATCATATAATCTGTAACCTAGTGCCATCTGGGTGTCAGATTTTTAGCATGAACTCTCCCTGTCCAGATTGGCCAATTCAATGTTAAACTATTTTTCTTTCTATAATGCAAAGTCCTGCTCAAGCATTTCTTTGAGCCAGTGTGCACAGGCAGGCTGACCCAAGGAAAAACATGGGGATTCTGATAACACTTCTGAATTCCTGCCTGGAATTTGACTACAATAGTAGAAATTACAGTCAATATCCAGGGCTGTAAGGTAACCTTTAAGATATAAGCCATGAGTCAAGAATAGGAAAGCTGAAAAAACGACACTGAATCCCTGGTTAGGCTCTAGTCCCCCTAACTCAGCCATGGACTGCCACCTCCAGGCTTCGGAACAGGAGAGAGAAATAACATTCCCTTGTGTTTCGTCCATCACTGTTTCTGTTCTGGGTTCTGCAGGAGAACATGAAGGCTCTTCCAGTCTGGCATCCCTGAATCCTCATCTCTCTGCACTGCCACCCATGCAGGCCCCCTCCAGCTCTGCTTTCCTCTTTCAGCCAAGGTTGTTGCACAGCATGTGCCCTGGCACTGAGCTGTGCATTAAGAATAGAATAGAGCAACACAGAGCCAATTACTGCCCTTGCAGGAATTACAGTCTTTGGGGGAGCAGTGGGTATCAAGGACTGATCCCACAAACGTGTAATCATAAGCCCTGATAAATGCTAGAATAGACAGTGTAGGGGTGTCTGGTTTAGTCTGGAAGGTCAGGACAGGCATCACTGAGGCGACATTTGAGCTGGCATTTGAGGGATGAGTAGGGACTAACAAGGAAATGGGGAAGGTAGAGCAATTCCAGGAAAGAGTGGAAATACGTTAGTATATAACTCAAGCACATGTGTGAAAATACCAAGGGTAGTAATGTAATAGCAAAAAAAGGAACCAACAGGTACAATTTTCTAAAACAGTAGAGAGGGGAAAAGATGAAATAAAGATAACTTGACCAATCCAGTAAAAGGCTGAAAAAAAAAAGACAAATGGAAAGAAAAACATGTAGGAAGAGAAGAACTAGTAGAATTTCAGTAAACATGTAAAATCCAATTATATCCAAGAGCACAATAACACAATGGGGGGAAATATACCAGGCAAATAAATACCAGTCAAAGTAAAGATAGTTTAAAATTGCCCATATCGGAAATACAGGTTTTAAAGATAAAATCCTTTGTAGATAAATTCACTATCTAAAAAAGATCCAGTTCATTAGGAAACACAAATGTGTACAAATCTAACAAAATGGTTTCTAAATATAAAAAGTAAAAATCTACAAAATTATAAAGAAAATTGGCAAGTCCACAGTTAATGATGGAGCACATTTCTCTGACTGATTGATTCCACAGGAGGAAAAATATGAATCTAGATATCCTGAGAAAAACAATGATCAAGATTTACAAAAATTAAGCAAGTCTCAATGAATTCTTAATATTCAGTATCATACATTTAGGTTACAAATCAATCATTTTTGAGTATATTTTGTTCATTGTGCTATTACCATTGTTCCATTTTTTCTCCCCTTTATTCCCCTCTGCCCTGCATCCCCCCTCCCACCAGCATTCCCCACCTTTAGTTCAAGGAACATATAAGTTCCTTGGCTTCTCCATTCCCTATACTATTCTTAACCTCCCCTTGTCTATTTTGTACCTACCACTTATGCTTCTTATTCCCTGCACCTTTTCCCCTGATCTCCCCCCTAACCTTCCATGTGATCTCCATTTCCATGATTCTGTTCCGTTCTAGTTGTTTCCTTAGTTTGTCTTTGTTTTGTTTATTTTAGGTTCAGTTGTTGATAGTTGTGACTTTGCTGTCATTTTACTATTCATAGTTTTGATCTTTTTCTTAGATAAGTCCATTTAACATTTCATATAATAAGGGCTTGGTGATAATGAACTCCTTTAACTTGACCTTATCTCAGAAACACTTTATCTGTCCTTCCATTCTAAATGAAAGCTTTGCTGGATAGAGTAATTTTGGATATAGGTCCTTGCCTTTCATGACTTGGAATACTTCTTTCCAGCCCCTTCTTGCCTGCAAGATCTCTTTTGAGAAATCAGCTGACAGTCTTATGACCACTCCTTTGTAGGTAATTGACTCCTTTTCTCTTACTGCTTTTAAGATTCTCTCCTTATCTTTAATCTTGGGTGATATAATTATGATGTGCCTTGGTGCATGCTTCCTTGGGTCCAACTTCTTTGGGATTCTCTGAGCTCCCTGGACTTCCTGGAAGTCTATTTCCTTTGACAGATTGGGGAAGTTCTTCATTTTTTTTTCCAATAAGTTTTCCATTTCTTGCTCTTCCTCTTCACCTTCTGGCACCCCTATGATTCAGATGTTGGAACATTTAAAGCTGTCCCAGAGGTTCCTAAGCCTCTCTTCATTTTTTTGAATTCTTGTTTTTCCATTCTGTTCTGGTTGAATGTTTACTTCTTCCTTCTGCTCCAAATCATTGATCTGAGTCCTGGTTTCCTTCCCTTTACTGTTGGCTCCCTGTGTATTTTTCATTTCACTTTTCATAGCCTTCATTTTTTTCCTCTATTTTGCAACCATACTAAATGATTTCTGTGAGCATTCGGATTACCAGCATCTGATAGGTTGGCTATCTCTTCATCGCTTAGATCTAATTTTGGAGCTTCGATCTGTTCTTTCACTTGGGCCATGTGTCTTTGTCTTGGCATGCCTGTTACCCTTTAAGTGGCAGAGCCTTAGGTATTTGCCAGGGCAGGTCAACCCACATTGCTGACTTTGGTGCTGTGTGTGGGAGAGGGGTCTGAGAGGGAACAATGCTGAGAGTCAGACACTTCCCCTGCTATCCACAAGCAAACTGGGCCCTTCTGGTGCTGATTTCCAGGTACGTGGGTTTGTGTATGTTCTAGGACCCAGTGGGTCCCTCCAACCCATATCAGAAATATAGGTTTTCAAGCTATATTTTTCCTGCCACCACAAACCCTACAGGTGTTTTCAATCAGAGGCTTTGAGGCTTTATTTCCCTGCACTGGAACCCCAGGTTGCATGGTCTGTCTCGCTCTGCAGTTGTTCCTTCCAGTTTATCCGCATACAAATGTGCAGCCACAGGCTCCGCCAGCCACCACCTCACCAGCCTGGTCCTTCAGTCAATGCCTAGCGACAAGTCCTCTCCACCACAGCTGCCTGTCTCCGCTGCTCCCACTGGTCTAGATGAATGTTTCTTCTTTAACTCCTTGGTTGTCAGACTTCCACACAGTTTGATTTTCTGGCAGTCCTGGTTGTTGTTGTTTTTTTTATAATTTGTTGTTGTCCTTCTTTTGGTTGTGCGAGGAGGCAAAGTGTATCTACCTACGCCTCCATCTTAGCCAACAAATTAATCATTTTAAATAAAACATTGGAAATATTTCATATTTGTCAATCGTAAGCCACATTTCTAATGACACATAGAACATAGAAGACAATGGAAATCAGAAAAATTCATATTTTATATGAAAATACAACACAAACTTACACGATGTAACTAAAGTAGTACTTACAGAGAAAGCCTAAAGTACTTCCATTAGGAAAGGACTGAAATTGACAAGCTAAAAGTCCAACTCAAGAAGTCAGAAAAAGAAAATAGCAAAGAGAAATAATGTCATTAATATCACATATTGATTAAAGATCATAACATTACAAAGAAAGAATCAACAATAGCAAAATGATTTAAAAAAACAAGTTTAATGAAATACACCACCCTCTGGATATATATATATA